GTTAAATGATCACTTCTGTTAATATTTTCTTGGTCAGTCAGACACACCATCCTTGAATCACTATAGAAGGGCATGGATACTTGGAAAGATCATTGGAGATCAGTTTGTGGGTGGAGGCTGGCTACCTTGATTACATATTAATTTCAGTTGAGTTCAGTTTTTATTTTTGGTGCTGGTCCTGGGGCTTGGACTTAGGGCCTGGGTGCTGTCCCTGGGATTTTGTGTACAAGGTTATCGGTCTTCTGCTTGAGCAACAACTCCACAACTCTACTTGGAGCCTTTTTTGGTCGTGAATTGAGAGTCTCATGGACTTGCCTACCTGGGCTGGTTTTGAACTGTGATCCTCAGCTCTTGGCTTCCAGAATAGCTAGGATTACAGGTTTGAGCCACCAGCGCCTAATTTAATTCAAATTTTAAGATGCAGGATTTGTACTTCTTTGATCTAATAGTTGTATTTATTTAGTTTTGTTTTTAAAGAACAACCTAAAAGTCCTAGTTCTAGCCAGTTATGCACAGGTGCTGATGGGTTACATCTATAATCCTGGTTACTCAGGAAGCTGAGGTCTGAGGATTGAAGCTTGCTGGAAGCTAGTGCAGGCAGACACATCTGCCAGACTCTATCCTCCCCAGGGGGAAAACAAACAACCTTGGTCCCTAGAGTTTAGAGTACATGCTTGTGTCATACTTTTGGATATTTGTCAGTTTTTGTGATGAGCAGGGTTAAGCAACTTTTTATTTGTTGGAAGGTGATATACTCTACTGTCTTTTTGGCACGGTATTTGTCTTTTTTTTTTCTCTCACAACTGGCACTCTACCACTTGAGCTATGGCTCCACTTTAGGTCCTCCCCCCCTCCCTTTCTTCTTCTTCTTTTTTTCTTTAAAGTAGCTCATTGGAGATAAGATTCTCACAGACTTTTTTACCTGGGCTGGCTTCAAACCATGATCATCATATCTCAGCCCTGAGTAGCTAGGATTACAGATATGAGTCACTGGTTGCTGGCTTAGAGTGTATTTTTAAAAGATTATTGTGGCTTTTGCACATGTTTACTATTTTGTTTAATTAATTAGCTGAAGCCAATGTTAATTACTAGTATATGTCATGCTGTATTGTTGTAAATTCTGTTATTGTGTTTAATAATTTTTCCAGAGACTAAATATCTTTAGATAAAGATTATTTTAATCTGTCCTATTCTGATTCTTTTACCTCTAATTTAGTGATATTTAATAGAAATAGAAAGTTAGCCATTTTAATTCAAAATAATTTGATAGCTTCTCTTAGAAAACATGAAATTAATTTATATATGTATGTATACATGAATATGAGTATACATACATATATATGTACATATATTGTGTGTATACTACACACACACACAGAGGGATTTTTTTTTTTTGGTGCAGGTCCTGGGGCTTCAACTCAGGGCCTGAGCTCTGTCCCTGAGCTTTTCTGCTCAAGGCTGGCACTTCTATCACTTGAGCCACAGCTCCACTTCTGGCCTTTTGGTGATTAATTGAAAATCAAAGTCTCAAGGATTTTCCTGGCTGGGTGGCTGAGATCTTGAGAGGCTCAGGTTTTATCAATACATTTTACTTAGCCCATATGCCTAATGGGTTACTTCACTTTGTAGTCAGTATAGCTTGTTAATTATTGTTGTTATTATTGTTATCTAGATTTGAGACAAGTTCTCAGTATAGTACCTCAGAGTTGTGTAATCCCGTTTGGTTTTGAACTCAGGATCCCTGTGTCTCAGTCTCCAAATGCTGGGACTATAAGCATTTGCTACCACATCTGGCTCAGTATACTTAGAAACAAGATGTTTTCTATTTGGAATTTATTTTTCAATGTATATTATGTTTCTTTGTTTCATCTGTTTCTAAGTGTGACAGGTTATGTTCATTTCTTGTGGGTAGGTGTTAATTTGCAACAATGTCTTAGATGAAGTTTATTTTTTCTATTGTGGGGTCATTAACCTCCCTCCCTCCCTCCCTCCCTCCCTCCCTCCCTCCCTCCCTTCCTCTTTGGCAGTACTAGTGTTGGAACTCAGGGCCTTGTGCTTGTGAGGCAGGTTGTTCTATCACTTGAGCCATACCCCCAGCCCTAAAAGTTATTTTTAATAAGTTGTTGCTGCAGTATGGTTTTGTGCCTATTGATTTTCTTTTCTTTTTTTTTTTTTGAGTCCAGGCATGGGACCTGAACTCTGGGCCTGGGCGCTGTCCCTCAGCTCTTCAGCTCAAGGCTAGTGCTCTGCCACTTGAGCCACAGCACCACTTCCGGCTTTTTTCTTTTTGCTTACATGGTGCTGAGGAATCGAGCCCAGGGCCTCAGGCATGCAAGGCAAGCGCTCTACCACTGAGCCACCTTCCCAGCCCTTGTTTTTCTTTTCTAACATAGTTTCTATACCTTCTGTATACCTTTGGATTTTCTGAGAATATAGTTATCTACCTATTTTATTTTTCTATATTTATATCTTGATTTTTGCTTACTAACTTCTGAATGGAGTAGTAAGATATTTTATTGTCTTGTACAATCCTTGGCATTTTCTTAATAAATATGACATTGGTTTTGGTTTTAGAGAAGTACTATCATAAACTTGAAAGAATGTTTCACCTAGGCACAGGGTCTCATGCCTATAAACCCAGCTACTTGGAAGGTAGAGATTGCTGTGTGGGAGATATATGTAAGAATAAATATCACAGTCTGAGGCCAGCCCAGGGCAAAGTGTGTATGTGAGACTCTGTCTGAAAAATAATGTAAAAATGGTCAGGGACCTGGCTAAAGTGATAGATTTCCTGCTTAGCAAGCATGAGACTCTGAATTTAAACTGCAGTACTGAAGAAGGGAACAAAAAAGAAATGGCTTGAATCTGCATTGGGAGCTCATGCCTATAATCCTAGTACTTAGGAGGCTGAGATCTGAGGATCACAGTTTAAAGCCAGCTCTGGAGGAAAGTCTGTGAGATTTTTGTCTCCAATAAACTACCAAAAAAAAAAAAAGCTGGAAATGGAGCTATGGCTAGAGACAGTGCCAGGTGCACTGATGGCTTGTGCCTGCAATGCCAGCTGGGCAGAAGATCCAAGAGACTCCATGTCCAAAATATAACCAGCAAAAATCAATAGAGGCATAAGTGTAATAAGATACTTGCTGAGCAAGTAAACAAGCAAGCTGAGTAAGGCAAAGCCCTAAATTCAAAACCTAGTACTGGCTCCCTTGAACCCTTTCAAATAACCACCTTTGTTTTACAAATTTAGTAAGAGTTCTTTGCTCATTTAATTAAAGACTGTTTATAAACTATGTCCAGATGCCTTGTTTGTCATGATAGTTTTTCCCTTTTCTAATATGGTGTAATAAGTTCTAAGTTCTACTAGCTTTTCCATTCTTGAATTGCAAGTAAGACTTTATTTGATTGTAATACTTTATTTTTTTTTTTTTTAAATTCAAGGCCTTGTGCTTGCTAGACAAGCGCTATATTACTTGAACCAAACTCCCAGCTCTTTTTGCTCTAGTTTTTTCAAATAGGATGTCAGGCTTTTTGCTCAAGCTTGTTCAGATCACAGTTCTTCTACCTCTACCTCTGCAAACTAGGATTGTAGGTATGTGGCACCAACTTGGCTTGTTTTTTGTTTTGGGATCTGGCTAACTTTTGTTTGCTTAAGCTAGCCTTGAACTATGTCTTACCTTCCTGAGTAGCTGGGATTACAGACATGTATCATTATTACCTACCCTGATGGTTAGGTCTCTTCTTAGAGCTTTGGGTTCAATTTGTACAAATTTTAGTTAAGATTTTTTTTAAAGTCTCATAAATACAGTTGCATAGTTATGTATACTGTATGCTTTTTTAAGTTAGCAGGCCTATAGTAGTTGTGAAAATAAAGTTATAATTTTATTCATTCAAGATTATCTGTAGTTATATATATGTAATTTCATATATACATATTTATGAAAATGAACAAACTGTTTAGAAGTGTGGAAATTTTAATACAAGTGTTTGTAGGTATATACTCTTTCATTAAAAGCAATAAAGCAGGAAGTGGTGTTGTGGCTCAAGCAGTAGAGCACTCGCCTTGAGCTGAAGAGCGTAGGGAAAGCGCCCAGGCCCAGAGTTCAAGCCCCATGACTGACAAAAAAAACCCCAAAACACACACACACACACACACACACACACACACACACACACACACACACACACACACACACACACACACACACACACACACACACACACAAAACAAATAAAGCAATTCTTTTTCTCTTTCTCTTGTTTTTGGTACTAGGGGTTGATATCAGAGCCTTATGCTTGGTTGGCTGGTGCTCTGTCATTTGAGCCATGCCTTCAGCATGACTTTTTGCTGGTTAATTGGAGATGGAATCTCCTAATATTAAATTTTCAGAAAAAGATGAATGTTTTTAAGGTGATAAAGTAGCAATTCTTTTCAAGGATCAGTACCACTACAGGTGTTTTTAAAAATAAAACCTAGATATTCAGTATACACTATTTGGAAAATAAGCCATGTAACTTGTGGGCAGGGATAGGAGGGGAAAATGGGGAAAACAAAGGAAGGGGTGATGTTGTCCAAAAGGGAAATGTACATATTACTTGAATTATGAAATTGTAACCCCTTTGTATATACCTTAATAATAACAATAACATTATATATTAAAAATAACAAACCTAGCTGGGTGTTGGTGGCTCATGCCTGTAATCCTAGCTGCTCAGGAGGCTGAGATCTGAGGATTGTGGTTCAAAGCCAGCCCGGGCAGGAAAGTCCATGAGACTCTTATCTCCTTTTAACCACCAGAAAACTGGAAGTGGTTCTGTGACTCCAAGTAGTAGAGTGCTCGCCTTGAGCTGAAGAGCTCTGGGACAGCACCCAGCCCCTGAGTTCAAGCCCCACAACTGACAAAAAGAAAAACAAAATAAGAAACAACCCCCAAAACAAACCCTAAACACACCCTAAATTTGTGAAAGTTTTTTAATGTGTTGATTATTCTTGCTTTTAGGTGCATTTTATCTGGTGTTTGAGTATATGGACCATGATCTAATGGGACTACTGGAATCAGGCTTGGTTCATTTTAATGAAAGTCACATCAAATCATTTATGAGACAGCTCATGGAAGGTTTGGATTATTGTCATAAGAAGAACTTTTTGCATAGAGATATTAAATGTTCAAATATCCTTCTAAATAATAGGTATGGATGTGAGCTTGATTTGTATGTTGAAACTGAGTACTATATAATGTGTACCTTGATTTGTTAAAATTTTGTTTATTGTTCCAGACTTAATCAACAGCCCTGAAACTTGGTTTCCCCATTGTGTTATAATTGTCTTTTAAATTAATTTCCAGTGACAGTTTTGTACTGTCATGTAATTGAAACAAATCAGTTGATTTTTTTTAACATAGCTAAACATAATTTCTGTAAAAACATTGAACTTTAAATATGATTGGAATAAACTTAAGGCATATAAAATAATACGTAATTGGGTTGGTTTGGTGGTTGTTTTTGGTTTACTATCATATCTAATAAGGTGGATGATTTTCTGTTTGTAATGTTATTTCAGCTAAGGTTATAAATGGGTTTTAAACTTTAAAAAATCAGTTTGACATGGTTTTTTTCCCTAAAGTGTGCATGATGCTTACGTTGAATATAAGTAACAACCCGAATCTGGTGAATTTTGTAATTGGTAGAGTTTTTTTGTTTTTGTTTTTGATTTTGTTTAAACGAAGCCTGCTTGCAGTCCTGGTTTGTTTGTTTGTTTATCATTGGTCATTGGGCTTAAACGTGGCACCTGGATGCTATCCCTGAGCTTTTTTGCTCATGGCTAGCATTTTACCTCTTTGAGCCACATAACCATTTCTGGTTTTTGGTGGTTAACTGGAGATTAAAGTCTCGTGGACTTTCCTGCCAGGGATGGCTTCGAAGTGCAATCCTCAGATCTCAACCTTCTGAGTAGGTAGGATTACAGGTGTGAGCGACCGGTGCTAGGCACAGCCCTGGTTTTAAACAGTAGGAAATAGTTGATGCACCTAACATCTCTAAAAGTTTTAAATTAAATAACATTTTTAAATGATTTGACTTCATTCTTGAGTACTGTTGACTTCAGTAATTAATGTTTCAAATTGGAAATGAATAATACTTGAAATAATACTATTTGAGTATTTTCTTTGAATCATTGGGGTTTGGTTCCAAGATTCCTCACCCCTTTTCCAGAATCTATAGATTCCAAGTTCCTTATATATAATGGATTAGTCACGTATTACTGTGTTACTGTACCCCATATTACAGATAATATGATGTAAATGATGTGTAAATAGTTGTTATATTGTGTAGGGAATACTAATATGGATAAAGAAGTCTGTATATGTTCAGTACAGACACATTTTGTTTTACAAATATTTTTTATCTATAACTGTGTGAAGATTCATTACCTGGAGGAACCAAATGGGCTAATATAATATTAATGGCAACTGAAACTGCAGAGCAGAGTAGTTGTTACCCTGTGAATTTATCTCCTACTTGACTTTCCCCGTAGGACCTTCGTCATATTGCGGTGTAATCAAAGTTAAAATTTATATGTAGGCTTCTGATGAGTATGAGGTGTACATTATCAATTCAGAGTAGACTAATACCTTTGGTTCATTTTGTCTTATTTCTACCAGAGGGCAGATTAAACTTGCAGATTTTGGACTTGCTCGATTGTATAGCTCAGAAGAAAGGTAAGAGTACTTTCAAATGACTACTATAGATATTATAGTCTAGTTTTAGTAGTTGTATTTAGGATACCTTATTGATAATTTAGTTTTTTGTTTTTTTTTTACTTTTTATGGCTAAATATACAAAATAAGAATTTTATACCATATTGGGTGGGTTATTTTAATTTTGTTATGTATTCATTTTAAATTAATTGATTTTTAACAGTGAATATAATTTCTGTAAAAATGTTTAGCTTTTACTATGAAAGGAATTGACTAAAAAATTCATTTGTAGATTTCTAATGCCATATAGCTGTTAAGATGCTCTGAATTTTGTGTTTTGTAAAAAACTTTAGTATGTTCTTTTAAAATTAAACACTTAAACTTATAAACTTCGTTTTCATTATTATTTTAGACCGTATTCTTTGTTTTGGTTTTACTTACACAGTTTTGTCTGTGTATGTGTTTCCCTTGCTCTCTCTTCCTTCCTCTTTTCCTGGAACGATTTAAACAACCTAGAGTGAGGAAGTTCAATGTATATAAGATAGAAAAGATAGACCTTTCCTGGCTAAAGCTGGGATGTGTTTCTAACATGGCTTCATTTGTGACTCGTTGTAAGACTTATTAGAACTAATAATTTCTAAATAGAGTATTTCAAAATACAGTATTTTGTGAATAAACCTTAGGATTAAATCTAATCAGTCTAGGCCATTTCTTTCTGATTATTTTCAGATTTATTTATTTATTTATTTTTAAATACGTTTTTTATTGTAAAAATACTGTATAGAGGGGTTACAGTTACATGAGCAAGGTTATGAGTACATTTCCTATCAAGCATTGTTACCTCCTCCTTTGTTTTTCCCTTATCAACCCTTCCACATCTACAGTCACCCCCCCACCCCAAGTTGTAAAGTTTGTTTTTCAGCACAGTGTCTTGTACATCTCATTGTTGCAGTGGGTCAGCCTGTATCTATCTTTAAGCATTTTGTTTTTTCCCTTCCCCTCCCCAAATTAGAGAAGTGTCTATACAAGATGCAGGGCACCGACATCAAATTATTTTCAGATTTATTTATAATATTTTTAATTTTAAAAATTGTGACTTTTCAATTATTTTTCAATATCATCTAATTTAACAAATTGAAACATTATTTCACTGAAAATTTTTTTTAGTGGATTCATGTATTGAATAAATTCAGTGAACAGATAGGCAATGATACAATAGGCAGATAAAACATTTTAAGTATTTTAGTATTTTTAAAAAGTAAATTCTTTTTCAATAAGAATGAAATACTGGCTGGGTATTGGTGGCTCATGCTTGTAATCCTTGTTACTCTGGAGGCTGAAATCTGAGGACAGTCTGTGAGACTCTTAAGGCCAATTAACCACAGAATGTTAGAAGTGGTGCTGTGGCTCAAAGTGCTTTGAGCAAACAACTAGTTCAGGGACAAAAATAGTTTTCCAAATTATAGAGCTGTATAAACAATAAAATAAGGCCCAATGCTTATTAAAGCAAAATTTACATAGAAGATCAGGTAATACAAGATTAGATAATATTTTGGTGGATTGGAGGGGATAGGAAGTATTCAAGGTAAAGAATTTGCCATTAAGGGCTGGGAAGGTGGCTCAGTGGTAGAGTGCTTGCCTTGCATGCTCGAGGCCCTGGGTTCGATTCCTCAGCACCACATAAGCAAAAAGAAAAAAGCTGGAAGTGGCGCTGTGGCTCAAGTGGTAGTGCGCTAGCCTTGAGCTGAAGAGCTGAGGGACAGCGCCCAGGCCCAGAGTTCAGGTCCTATGCCTGGACTCAAAAGAATTTGCCATTATAAGGTAATATTTAAATTTGATACAATAAACTATACCTTATCAAGAAAATACAACTTTATTCTTGAATTGTATTACTGAATTACTTCACTGGAATGTTTTGAGTGATTTCACTGATTCTCTGTTTTTGATTAATTGAAGAAATAGTGTTCAAAATTTTAAGAGTGGAAAACTTGCTTATTATTTTGTAGTGTTTATTCTGAAAATTGTTTTTTATTTATTGTTCTAGAGTTGAGATTTTTACCTCTCATGTGTTTAGGATCTTGGAGAGTTGCATTAAATACACATATGAATTGTGGCGTGGATAGAATTGTGATAGATAGGGCTCTATCCTGTACCACCATCTGAACTACTGCTTTTTAAAAAAATCACACATGTGCTTAATATATTAAGATAGGGTTATGTATATTTGTGTGTGTGTGTGTGTGTGTGTGTGTGTGTGTGTGTGTGTGTGTAAGAAATGTAAAATAGTCCAAGGGAATAAATTTGTATTCAAAAACATTAAGACCAGAGAAGATAGGGTAACTTTTTCTCTTTTTAAAATTAAATTTTTAGTTGGAATATAAAAGTTGTATATATTTGTTGTTCATATATGTTGGCTTAAAGTATATGTACATTGTGAAATGGTTAAGTGGAACTTATTATGCAACCTCACATTTTTTGTGGCAAGGATACTTAAAATCTACTTTGAGCAATTTCTAAGAGTATAGTGTGTTATCATTAACTTACTTACCCATGCTATATAATCAAATGTTGGATTTCTAGTAATTGAAATTTATCCCCATCTCCATTTTCTTAGGTAGTACCAGACCTTTGAAGTGACAAATGTTTGTTTTGAACTTATGTGCTCTTCCACTTAAGTCACGTTCTTAGCTAGTCCTTTTGGTTTTAGGTTATTTTTCAGATAGGGTCTGGTTATTTTGCTTGGGGAAACCTCAAACTTTGCTCCTTCTATTTCCATTTCCCACATAAATGGGATGATAGGCATGCAACATCATGCCTGACCTGAAATTTTATGCCCTTTGGCCAGCCCCCAAGTCCCACCCACAGAACCACCATTCTATCCTATACATTTTTTTAGATTGAGCATATGTTAATATTATGATCTTTTGAGTTCATCTATGTTGTAACAAATGTTAGGGCAGCATAGTATTCTTTTGTGTATACATACATATGTATTACATTCTTTTTACACTTTCGTCTGTAGATGGATACTTAATTGATTCCATGTCTTTAGGGTTGTGAAGTATTAAATAACTTTAAAAATAAATGGCTTTATATTGTAATGTACACCAACAAACCTCTATTTGGGTAGTGGCTGAGGCAGATGGTTGTAAATTTGAGGCAAAACTTGGCTATGTAAGGAGACCTATGTTTTCAAAAAAACATAAAAATTTGCCAGGTGCTGGTGGCTCATACCTGTAATCGTAGCTACTCAGGAAGCTGAATCTAAGGATCACGGTTCAAAGCCAGCCTGGGCAGGAAAGTCCGTGAGACTCATCTCCAGTAAACCACCAGAAAACTGGAAATGGCCCTGTGGCTCAAGTGGTAGAGTGCTCGCCTTGAGCTGAAGAGCTGAGGGACAGCGCCCAGGCCAAGTTCAAGCCCCATGACCGACCAACCAAAAAATAACCAAACCCATAAAAATTAAACCACAAATATGTTAAGTGTTGTTAGAGACAAGGATGTGTAGTTCAAGAGTTCAACTCTAGATTTAAAAAAGTTTTTACATCATATACACTAGTGCCTCTTGGTAACTTAGCTTGAGTGACTTACTATTAAATTACTGAATTTCTCTCGCTGTTCATTTTTGGGGAAATTCTGGTTAAGCAGACTATTTGTTAAATAGGAGGTTTCACTATCTGCTTTATCTGTAATATGAGTGTATCTGTCATATTTGAATATGAGTCCCTTATTTTCTTGTTAGGTTTCTGTGAAGATGTAAACACATAGTTTTCATTCCCATGTAATAAGTCTTATTATGGAGATATCCTGAATGAATTTGATTCCAGTAAAATTTATAGTATAGCAACATTCTATATTTCAGCATTCTTTCCCCACTGGTTTTCCATTTGAAATGTAATATCGGGTTCCAGTGGAAGGTGGGAGCTGGGGCACTTCACTTGCTCATGGTCTTGTTTGCTCATGTAGGGGTTTTTCAGTTTAGAGAAACAGGAAATTTAAAATTACATAATTGAGTGTTCAGGTAATATCTAGTACAATTTTCTGCTTCATCAATTTTGTAAGAGAAAAACTCCATATATCTTTAAGGGGATTTTATACTTTTTCTTTCTGTCGTTTTTAATATTAGAGTAGTTCTGTCTTTAAAGATCCATTTGTGAAATAGGTTTTGTATCATACAAAGCCTTTATATGTATGTGTGTGTGTGTATGTGTGTGTGTGTGTGTGTGTGTATGCTTTATCCTAGTGAATTTAAATATTTAAAATCTACCTTTAGCTGATTGATTGTATTTTCCTAAGTTTTCTGGAAATGCAGAGCTATTTCTTGCTTCTGTGTTGTTAGTACAATTAGAGAACAAGTGAAAGCTTTACCATAATACAGCAGTACAGATAATAAATTGTCTTCAAGTATTTCCTAACTAGTTAACTACTACAGTTAGAATAACTGGTGTTCAAGAATTTAGTTTTTTTTTTTTTGAGCGTTTGTTCCCCAAACAGCTTTTAGCTTATATCTCATTTGATTTTGTGCGCTTCATTTTTTTGATTGTGAGAAAAGCTGGGTAGAATTATACATAGTAGTTGGGCTGTCTTTATATGTGTGATTTCCATATGAAAATGTTTTCCACATAAATTGAAATTAACTTCATGTTTCTTAGCAAATGCAGTGTGTTTTAAATGCAAAGAACATAAAAATCTCTGGTCCTAACTCAGGAAACTGTATGTAGTTGTAATCTTTTTTCTAGTCCTATTTTAATCAGTTGTGGTGTCTTGGTCAGGTGGCTTAACAACCTATTTGAGCCTTACTATTTTCAGTGAGTGTATCATGAAAAAATTTAAAAATCCTCTAGAATCCTGGGATTTGAGATTAGTATGCATGAGGCCTTGGGTTTGATCTTAGCTGTACAAACAATCATCACCAACACAAAACAAAGTAAGAAGCAAAAATAAGACAAAATTTTGTTTCCAAAATTACTAAAAATATATGGTTTATGATTCTAAAAATTGATGGAATCAAAATAGAATAG